TTGGTTGCAGCCATCATTGTTGTTTGGTGGGCCCAGGCTGGATTTGAACCCGCCACCTTAGGTGTATGTGGCTGGCGTCTTAGCCACTTGAGCCACAGGCGCTGAGCCATCTCTCAGATTTTCAGGTAGTTTTGACCACTTCTCTAATTTCCCCACCACTAGGCACAGACTGGCACAAGGATGGCCTGGAGAGGTGGAGGTGCACATGGATCTCTTGAGTGAGTCACCACTTGCTCTCCAGTGACCTGGAGAGAACCAGTGAGATCCCTTCCTCATTCTCCTCTCAGAGCCTCCTGTGTTCTCCTTAAGAGGGAGATAGAAGGCCAAGACATAGGTCCTGCCCTTGAAAACCCCACAGTCGGGTTGGGGCAGGCAGTCAGGAGTGTCTGCTGTGCAGACAGGGCAAATGGACTGCGGAGGCAGGCAGGCCCAGTGAGGCCTAGTGGTTGGGAAAGGTCTTCTGAAGAATGGTGAGTACAGTTGGGGAGGGTACTGCCTGTGGGAGGAACCTGCAGGGAGGCTAGCTGGGCTGGACAGGCTGGGAGAGCCAGGGGGAAAGGTGGGTGGTGGTCTTGGAATGCTAGGCAGGACAACCCCTTGGGCATGGAGCAAAAACAAGTTTGAATCTAGAAAAAGAGACAGAGACTTAAGGCCTTGCTGTTTAAAATGTCATAGACCAGCAATTTGAGCATCACCTGGGAGTCTGTTAGAAATGCAAGATCTCTGGAGGCACTTGTGGCTCAGTGGGTAGGGCACCGGCCACATATATTGAGGGTGGCGGTTTCAAACCTGGTCCCAGCCAAACTGCAACAAAAAATAGCTGGGCGTTGGGGTGGGTGCCTGTAGTCCCAGCTACTTGGGAGGCTGAGGTAGGAAAATTGCCTAAGCCTAGGAGTTGGAGGTTGCTGTGAGCTCTGACGCCACGATGGCACTCTACCTGGCACTCTACCAAGGGTGATAGAGTGAGACTCTGTGTCTACAAAAAAAAAAAAAGAGAGAGAGAGAGAGAGAAATGAAAGATCTCGGCTCTGCGTAGCACAGTGGTTACTGCGTGAGCCACATACACCCAGGCTGGGGAGTTTGAACCTGGCCAGGCCAGCTAAACAACAATGACAACTGCAACAAAAAAATAGCTGGGCATTGCTGGGCGTTGTGGCAGGCACCTCTAGTCCTAGCTACATGGGAGGCTGAGGCAAGAGAATCACTTAAGCCCAAGAGTTTGAGGTTCCTGTGAGCTGGGATGCCACAGCACTCTACTGAGGGCAACATAGTGAC